CTGAAGTTAATGGGGACACACGCAGGCGTTGTGTGGTAAAGCAGCCCGATGTGGCCAGTGCACTAGTGCTCACCAGACTCTGGACTGCTCAAGGAAAGGGGATGCATGCGTCAACTGCGGCAAGGAACACTGTTCATGACAGAGAGCAGTATGTCTAACCTTCCAGGTCTACAATGGAAGTCTAGAGAAAGCTCGGATGGAGCTTTTATCGAGAACGGCGGATATTTAGAATAAGAAACCTACAACGGCGCCAATGCGAATAGTCGGAACGACTGATGATCAGGGAACCATTTTGGTCACAAATAAGAAGGTTGAAGGACTCAAAAGACAGCCGGGACAACCGCGTAAGGTAGCCGAAGCCACAGCGACATCAACGATCCTTGTGACAGTCGCACCACCATCGGGGCCGACTCTTCGGAAACTTCGAAGACTAACGCGGAGTGAGGTGCCTTTTCTTTACAATTTCTCCAAGAAATAGTCTAATCGAAGGGGGAGTTATTGAAATTTGGGGAAAGTCTATGAAGTTATGGCTGATAGGAGCGTCATCACAGTTACGCCGGGTCGGTCCAGAGAGGTGAGATAGTGAGGTTTATTTTGCTAAAAGCTTTTTCCCTAACCAATGCGGCATATCGTCTTTGTGGTTTGTTGGAAATATCGCGCAATGAAATGGGCGCAATATTCATGGAACGAAAGTAGAATTTGAATAAAAGAGTGTCATGTTCGGATTAAAGCTAAAAGTGTGGGAGATGTGCGCTATAAGTACAAGTGTAAGCGATACAGAGCCTAAGCCCGACATAAACGAGTGTGGCGCCATCTAGGCTTAGAAAACCCCCAATAACCTCCTTACGCCCACGCCATACAGCCGCTCATGTCTCCAATAGAAAGCCTGAAGCGCTACCATATTACCCACTCCAACCTCTTACATACACACAAGATCGTGTCGGGAACCTAGACAAAATGGAGGGCCCATACGTCCACAACACTCCGTGTCTCCATTTCCAACATGGTTCTGTATATAGATATCGTATAGGACATTAAATTAGGACAATTTAATTCAATTGGTGCCATCAATAAGGCTAGGTTGTTAATACACGTGTGAATACAAATTCTGTACTTAGTTTCAGCACGGTAGTTATTAAGATGATTGCACTTTACAAACTACATGACTAAAGGCTCATTATTTCCCAAACAATCATTATAATTTTATTGTCCTGTCTCAGCCTATGACTATATAGAACATGCAGGTTCTCTCAAACAGTATCACCCCTCACAAGTACCCATCAGATCATACACTTAGAGGAACTCTTTGCCCTTTTTTATCTCCCCTCTACAGCTAACAAAACGATGGCCATTTGCGGGTGTATAGCAGCCGGGAAAAATCGCAAAAAACCACTGGGTGCGGAGCTCTCCTAATACCGACATTAGCACTAAATCCAAAGACATAATGATCCTTCCGGAGCCTTCGAAGAGGCCGGCCAGCTGGGCGCTGCAGACTTGTGGGTACCTCGGAGAATTCACACTCTGCTTTTCTAGCCTCCTTCCAACTCCTTCCCGAAGTTCGTGCTGAAATGTCAGAAAAGTCTTGACAGAGCGTGACTGCTGTATAGTAGCTTAGCCCGACTTCTTTTGTACCGTTCAGGGCGCTGGGCTGTGCCGTTGACTCGTCGACAAAAGAAGCCCTCTTAGTTAATTAGCCGAAATCTCGGTCTTGGCGCCCACAAAATATCCAAAGTTGAGAGTCCCCTCGAAAGTTTCAGTGCCAGCATGGTCTTCAGAGACTTCTTTCTCCTATAGCTCCACATCTCAGCCGTCTATCCTTCCTCAAGATGTATAACCCCACTAAGACAACTGTCTCCCATAAACCATGACCCAAGCTATGTATATTATGACATCATTTCCCCCTTGTAGGTATAAATAGCGTCGTAAATATGTAGTGAGAGATGGCTGGAAATTAATGGGGCAGGCTCCTGGTAGCAATTGGAGGAACTTCTTTATTGGTCGTTGAGGCGAGATGATGCGTGGTTAGAGATGGGTTGAGGACTCAGATGATAATGATGAGAGAGGCATTGTCGAGAAGTCGTCAAATGGAGATGTGCTTGAGGTTGCTTTCGACTTCGATTCGGATGCGATTCTTCTTGGCTATCCCAGATATCCAGAGCATACTGAGCGATTACACAGGCACAACTGGAAGGTGAAGAATTCGTCTTTGCAGTGCTGACAAATTAGTAGTCATTAATTAATTGCTTAAAACTTTGCGTTATGACCATTAATCTAGAGCCAGGCCTTTGATAAATCAATCTTAAATTTACGGTTTAACCGTTGTTTGAGATTAGGCAGATCAATAAGCTTATTTTGAGAATTCTCACGATAAGCCTGCGTGGGGAAGAGATGAAGCTGGAATAGACGACTGTACTAATCAGGAGGTTAAAGCCTAATGACAAATTCGTGACACGTGCAAATACGTGACTGAGTAGGAAGTATTGTACCTTAGGAAAAGTTACTGGTCTTTATTTTTTTTTTGCATCAGATTTTAATTGCGTATGCAGCTATCTAGCTATGACACAATACCAAAGAAAAGTACAGAATAGATGATTCAACGTAAAGGAAGAGCACTCATGCCTCAGATTTCATTTGCAAGTACCACTGCGAAGTTATGGTAGCTTTTTCTTCACCCCAAGTCAACCCTCATCCGTGAATACCCACCCAGGGGAACGTCTCAAAAACTCTGAGTTATCCAGACATGCCTCCATCATCCATCAACTTTCCTCCGCGCGAAATGTAATCTGAGATGTCTCCTTCCAAAGTGGAGTAGGTGCCCAGGCCACTCAAACCATACCAGAGAACACCACCAGGAGGCGGACCACAACACCTTCCATCGTTGGCTTGTTTTTATGGTGTCAGCTGCACTCTGCAAGCGGAGTCTTGGCGCGCACAAAGCTCAATTCCTAAATCTCCTTGCCATAATTCAGAGTGTCATGCCCTTCGAGGTTATATCCTTCCCTCGCATCATCTTGTCAACTTGTCCTGATCCCTCCCACGTACATCCTGAAGAACAGTCTCCCGAATTTGTGCGCCACGCTTCGTTTCCTCCGTTGGGTAAAAATATCGGCGTGGGCGTGTATTTGGTGGTCGAGGCCAGAGAAAGTCGACGAGAGGTATGGTCATTGGGATGAAGATGTAGTAGGTCGAACTTGTAGACTTGATGAGGCTTAGGTATGAGTCGGACCCTGGGAGTGAAAAAACGACGTGGTGGAGTTATTTGAATTATTGCCTCGTGGGCCAACTTGTTCTGTATTGCGAAATTTGACTGCACTTGGTTCTGGGAGAGTATTTCTCTCCCAGGTTCGTAGAGGACACTATTTACAGGTGTTCAGTCTCGCAGGGACATTGCAGACTGCCACTGTCGCTTCAACCACTAGGACGCTCTTCTGACCCGCGCTTGCGGACAGGAAAAGTCCTTTAATCACTTCATCTTTTGTCGGCTAAGTCGAAACCGAGCCCGCCGCAGTGGCAGAACTAACTATCTAACACTGAGAATTCTATAGATTCTAGGCTCTTCTGAAGGGGCAATCATTTTTAGTGAATGGCTTTATGATACCAAATTTTTCGAATAAATTTAGCGTCGACACTGGCCTATACTCTATTTGACTATTACATGACAGGCTCTATTATTAGGCAATTGGTGTTGGTGAAAGATAGTTCCAGTAAACATGGATATATAATTTCTGCACCTTTCTGAGATCAACAGTTTAAGCGGAATTGCACTCTTGATGTCTTTTGATGGTTTGGGGCGCACGGCAGAGTGGCCTTGGCCCATGGATGAGTTGTCGGGCTTGTAAAAACCCCTGGCACGTCAGATTGTTTATATAGACCGAGCTAGCCAACACGAGACTTTACGGTCTTGATATTGTTGTTAATTTAATTTATTGACCTGTCTGAGTCTATGACTATGTAGGATATGCAGGTCCTCTCTGCCTACAGGCCAAGGATACCCATACCAGTAGTATATCCCCTCCTATGCCTTCCATACAGCTCCCCTCAAACAGTACCAACTTTACGGTCTTGTTAGCTGGCACGAGGTCAAATAAAAAATAAACCCCCATACCAAACCGAAACCACTTACAACCTTGACAATGATCCCATGAATAGTTGTAACAGTAGCCTATAAGACAGCATAATTAGGCTAGATACCATTGAGTCGGACCTAACCCGAACACAATTCCACATGGGAACCTGTATTTAGTCATGGTTAAATATCTTAGTAAAACATTCATAGGTGCTACAGAAAGCATTATAAAAGGTTTGGGTGGAGAAATACTAGACCATAAATACACATTGACAAGGGTCACAATTGAGTTAAAATTTTAAAGTAACTGTTATCTAAAAACACGATAAAGATTTCATCCATGAGTGAAAACCCACACGATAAATTGGAATCTTCCAAACAATACACATCTACGATGAAACCCTCCTAAATGTGTCACACCCTGCCAACTGTACTTGTTGCAAGTATTATCGCGTTATTTTACTTGAGCTGATATCACGGGATTCCTTGCGTCTACAAAAATTAGATCTGAAAATTACAAAATAAAACTCAAACCACAAACCATCGTTGTCCTTCAATCGTTAAAGGGACACGTCGCAGCCTGGACGCCAGTCGCAGGTTGCTTGTCTGCTCGTCCAAACGAGCAGGTATAGTTTGGAATGACATATCTCTCATTACTCGCCAAAGAATATTTGAAAACATTTCACATGGTGATTACCGGGCTCACCCTTTTAATTTATCCCGTAGTCAGGGATTAGAATACACAGATTCGATTGGTCAATACCATATCAGTCGAGGCCAAACTGATGTTTATTTTCCCAGAATAACCTATCGCCAACTTTGGCCGAGAAGCCCAAATTTCCTAGCAAGAGTTATTAAACAGTGTAGAAACTATAGTCGCTCAGGCGTGGAGCTCTGTAGACCAATCTTCTCACCATCTCGCTCATTCCGCAGAATGTCCTCCAATAAAATACCGAAAAGTTCCAGTAGTTCTAAGCGCAAAAGAAACGACGGAAATAACAAGTTTTACGCAGTCAAATGTGGAATACGACCTGGTGTCTACAATTCGTGGAAAGAATGTCAAGCTCAAATCACTGGTTTCAGTGGTGCTAATTGTAAGCTTTCAAGTTAACCCCTTTATCTTTAAATGCTCTAGTCATAATTCACATCATAATTGGCTACGTTCTGTATTGAACGGAGGGCTGAGCTATTTCTGTGTGAATTGAGCTAATGTCAACTCTTCATTAGACAAGGGTTTTACAAATTTTGAAGATGCACAAAGCTATGTCGCTGGAAAAACAGTCACAAACCCCACTAAGTCGACCAACAAAATAAGGTTCTATGGGGTTGCAGTAGGACACTGCCCAGGCGTCTATACAGATTGGGAAGAGGCCAGTATGCAAATCAAGGACACTAAAAAACCTATCTTTAAGAAATTTTCAAGCTTTGAGGAGGCCAGGCTTTTTGTTCAATCTAGAGGGAAGGAACATGATTGCGAGAAAAATGTTCTCGCCGAAACTCCATCAACTTATGATCCCGAGAAAACAGTAGCTGAAGAGAACAACCCTTCTAAAAAAGTAAAAATGAATAGCGAGATCTCTATAAAATCTCAAGGTCTAGAACCTGGCATTACAGATACCGATCCAAGGCAAACTGAAACAGAAAATTCAAAGTTAGTCGTGGCTTACACTGACGGTAGCTCCAGGGGAAATGGGACTTCGAACGCAAAGGCAGGGATAGGCGTTTACTTCGGCAAGAATGACCCAAGGTATTTACTTTTCCAAGAGCTTATCTCTATGGAAGAATTATGGATCTAACGACCAACGTTCAAAAATTACAGGAATATCTCTGAACCACTTCTTGGAAAGCCTCAAACCAATCAACGAGCCGAGCTCAGTGCTATTTGGCGCGCCATTCAAATCTGCCCTGAAAGTAAAAACCTCCGACTCTTTACAGACAGTAATTACTCAATCAAATGCTTAACTACCTGGTACAAAGGCTGGCTAAAGAACAAATGGCGTACTGCAAGTGGCTCACCCGTCTTGAATCGGGATCTTATTCAGGCTGTACGCACCTTAATAAATCATAGAGACAGTTGTGGGGTAACGACTGAGCTGCAGTGGGTGCGCGGCCATGATAACGACCCAGGTAATGAAGCAGCAGATCAGCTAGCGGTAGCAGGATCTTACGCTTCTCGCTGAATTCATTGGTGCTCGTAAATATTGCGTTCATTAAACGAGTCAAACAGAATTTAAAGTGCATGTAATCACAAACCCCTTTTTGATTTCACAATTAAATATTTGATGGAAATAAGATATCAAAAATGTATATTACAGCTTAGCTTACTGCGATACTGACGTGACATTAATCTATGTAATCATTATTCTCGCAGCTTTGCTGAAGGATGCATCGAAGTAATTCCTGGATGTCAACATTTTGTTAAGTTTTATATCATTAAGTACGCCAATGGATTTTATCTTCAACAATTATTCAATACAGTCGGACCTCAAAAGAAGTTGAAGTTAATTTTTCAATTAGACAGTTTAACTCCTCCCCCAAAAAAAGGAACTACATAGGTTTTTAGAAGCCTACAGAGATATCAACTCTTGTCTCGGAAGTCACCCATTATCCTACCACCTATCGAAACGTATAACCCACTACTTTGTTCGTGGACTTTATTGGTAAAGGGAAGCTTATGCAATAATGAAGGATAAAAGGATGTCAATTCGACTACTCTTCTAAGCACAGCTGCCAGACTCTTTTTAATCCCAATAGATAGCCCGTGCGGGGTCTCCTATTAACAGCAGTAAACAACGCTAGCACACAGGAGGGCAAGACTGAACACCTGTACGCGGTGTCCTCTACGAACCTGGGAGTGAAATATTCTCCCAGAGTCAAGTTCAGTCAAACTTCGCAATACCGAACAAGTTGGCCCACGAGGCAATGATTCAAATTACTTCACCATATCAATCTTTCACTCCCAACGAAATCGATTCCTACCTAAACCTCATCAAGTTTACAAGTACGACCTAGTACATCCTAATCCCAATGACCACACCTCTTGTCGACTTTCTCTGGCCTTAGCTGGTCGCCAGATACACGCCCACGCCGATATTTACACCCGACGGAGGAAGCAAAGCGTGGCGCACAAATCTGGAAGACAATTCCTTGGGATGGATGTGAGAGGGATCAGGACAAGTTAATAAGATGATGCAGAGGATTGGATACAGTCTCGACGGGCGTGGAATTTTGAATTTTGGAAAGGAGTTTTTCCAAATTGAGCTTTGTGCGTGCCAAGTCTTCGGCTGCGAGAGTGCAGGCGACACTATAAAAACTGCCATGGTTGGATGGTGCGGTGGTACATCGTCTTGGCCGGTCTGCCAAGTAGAGTCTGGATAGCTTGGACACATATCCCACTTGAGACAGTAGATCGCTGGTTCAAATCCGGCAAAACACAATCGCATTTCTCGCCGCGCTGTTATGCATTGATGACGAAGGCATGCTTGGATAACTAAAGGTTTTTAAATTCCCTTTGGTGGTAACTAACGGAGGAGGGTCGACTGTTTGTGTAAGCAAACATACCTCATAGTGGTGTTTGCGAATGAAATCCAGAGTATGAGTGTCTCTAACGTCAAAAGAGTCATCCCACATGTATACATAGCACCGGTCATGTGTCATAGCTAGATAGCTGAATACACATTAAATGATTCAAAAAAAAAAAAAAAAAAACGCTAGCACAGGGTATACGCAATCTCCATTCGCCAAACACCAGTCGGTCGGGACTAATAATTATCGAGCCTAGTAAGATCGACAAAGTGTATCCCAACACAGAAATAATACAAAACTCAACAACCAAACCCTTCATCAATTCGAGAAATTCGAACATTCGAAAATTCATTTTTTCCCTCTTTCCTCCCTTCTCGACCTCGTCGCATCTATCTCTGAATTGTGATCGAGCTCAGGCATTTCACCATGCCTCCAGTTCGCAAAAAGCGCCTCAACGTCAAGTTGGACAACACGAGAGTCCACCCGAGGGCTCTCCAACAATTACCTGGCCTTGCCCAGTCTCCGAAATGCGCGGAGATGAGCAAGGTCTCAACCAAAGGGAAGGAAAAAGCCCTCCCCGCCGTCGCTGAACCCGATACTGACATGATCGGGTCAGTCGAAATTATTGAGGAAATTCCTCAACCATCCTCCGTCCCCCACGGGATTGGAGAATCGTCAAAATCTCCCCCGACCGCGCCAAAACTGTCGGAGAACGCTGCACCCAAAGCAGCGTCAAAATCAACGTCGCAGCCCAAAGCTGCCACGAAAGCAGACTGCCCTCCGGAACTTCGACCCATTATCGAAGCCGAGTAACGACGTGCCGCCGAAACAGCGGCAAATCTGGCCCTCTGCTCCGCCGCCATCTCTGGCGTCGAAGTCACCCTTCTTCCTTTGACCAACGGGTCAAACAGACAATTTGTAGACTCGATGAGAGTCTACCTACGCGCAGCCATCGCGCAATACATGGCCACGGGCCCGGCCTCCACGCCACCCGTCCTCCCTCCTCGCCCGGCGAACCCGATCCCAAGGGCTCCCGACGTCAGGAGCACAACGATTTCCGCCGTCCCAGCGCTGCCTATAAAAAGCACCTGGGCCACGGTGGCCAGAAATGGACTGCAACAAAAAGCAGTCCCAACTGTAAAGGCTGTTCCGCGATCTGCGGCAAAAGCCCAAAATAAAGAAGCTCCGAAGGCTAAAGTCGACAAACGACTGTTCCTTCGCTTAGAGAGCGATCACCCATGGCGCCAGCTTTCGCCTGACGGCATACGGCATCAATTATGTTGTAGGCTACTGTACACCTTGAGTGAAAAAAGCTCTATACACCGTGTCAGAACCGGATTTGCGATTCTGACAGCGGATAAAAATGAAAGGGAAGAGCTCTTAGATGCCTCACCGAAGTTGTCGGACTTCAATGCCAAAATCGAGGAAGCCTCCAACCTTGTCGCCTTTCGGATCGCGAATGTTCCAGCGACTATAAAATTAATCAACCGTATTGAGACGGTCGATGCCGGTAGGATCTCACTAGAGATTTACCGCAAAACACAACGACGTCCATGCCAGGTGCGACCGCAAGGGACATGTCGTCCTGGAGCGCCATACAGAAACTGGTATGCCCTTTTCAACCGGGACTCCGCCCCTCGTGCGGGCTTCCGAATACTCGACGAGTCCGGAGCGGCTACAAAGATCCAGCCTCGTCGCCAAATTGAACAGTGCAAACGCTGTTTGGGCTTCCACGCCACCCGTGGTTGCTCCCGCGCCCCAGCGTGCTGGAACTGCGGATCAAACATGCACTCGGAAGCCGAGTGCAAGGCCCTCACAAAATGTCGCAACTGTGGGGGACCCCACCGATCGGATTCCCGGGACTGCAAAGTCAGACCCAGAAAGTCTGGACCGGTGACCAAAGAGCAGCTCGCGTGGATCCGCCACATCGAACAAGGGGAGTTCGCGAAGGTGGCACGAGCACGAGCAACAGCAAAGAAGGCTGAAGAGGCAATCACCGCCGCTGCAAAGGACGTCTCGATGGCCGAGGCTACAGGTTTCGGAGTTCTGGAATTTGAAGAAGAAGTTTGAGGACACAGCAGCCTCGACAATGTCCCTTTTGGGGCATATTCTAACCAATAGCAGGATACCGGCTGGATAAAAAGTGCCTGCTATCTCATCTCTTGCTCTCAGCGGAGATTGAGTAAATTTGTCATTTGGAAGATGTGGCAGGAAAGGGAACGGGCGAGAAGCGCGGGATCCGGACCACATGAAAAATCTTGTAAATTTGATTTCAGTCTTTGGCTTTTAGTTTTGATTTTAGTTTTTGATTACAGTTTCTGAGTTATAATTTACCTGCTACATTTTCTGTAGCGGGTCACGCGGTTGGAATGAGTTGGGCCTGTAAGCAGTGATCCCCGCCGGCTCCACCAGTCTTGTACCGATAGTGGACCTAGAGCCTTAGCTTAGGACTTTAATATAATAAAAAAAAAAAAAAAAAACCCTTCATCCAAACAATTCGAGAAGCCCCCAATTTGCCCATTCCCACCCTGTTATCCATCTCACCCTCTGACGAACGAATCGAATCGCAATTGTTTGCCATCGGCGGCATTTTAAAATGCCTCCGACGCGTAAAACGCACCAAAACGCGATCAGCGGCATCACCAAAGATCGCGCCAACAAACCTTATCAATGGCATACCGCCATTCAAAACCACGCAAAGAACATGCTAGCAAGGCGAGGACTCGAGTCCAATCTTCAAAATATGAACACCATCGCGGCAGCGCTCCAAGCGAAGGAGAACGATGTCCCCGAGGTAGAGATGGTGGACGCAGAAGTCGAGAAGTTAAAAACCCTCGCCGATTCAGTTTGGGCATCCTCCAGCCCAGAAGACGCAGAGCAAGTCTTTGATCCCACCGGATCCCCCAGAAAAACTGTCGTCGCACCTGAGAAGCGCATCACGGTTCCAGCACTACCGCGACCTGCAGAAGTGGGGCCCGCGAAAAGGGCTGAAACATCATCCACTAAGGCAGCAGGAGCCGAAAACCCTCCACTGGCCCCGCAGCCTCCAGCACTAGAAGCAGCAGGCGGAAAAAATACATACCCTCCAGAATTGCTTGCAGCGATCGAAGCGGAGGAGCGCAGGGCAAGAAAAAAAGCCGCGCTATTCACAATATGCTCGACGGCTATTAGCGGTGTCGAGGCAGCTCTTCAACCGCTCTCCACCGGTGAAGACAAAAATTTTGTAGACTCCATAAAGGTCTACCTAAGGGCAGCAATCGCGCAATTCGTGGCGGCCGGGCCAAACACTGCTCCGCCAGTCCTACCCCAACGACCAAATGTCGCGACTCCCCCTGCGACCGTCATCCCAGTAGCCGTTCCCCGTAATATTACAAAGGCTACTGCACCTCTTCAGCCCAGAAGCACCTGGGCCACTGTCACCAGAGCAGGACACCAAAAGTCAGGAGCACAGGCTCCTGCAAACATCACCTCGTCTGCAGCTGCCCCATCAGTCAGGAAAATAGAGAAGAAGCCAGCAGCAGCAACAACAACATCGAAAGATGACCGACTCTTCCTGCGTCTCGATGCAAACCACGAGTGGAGACAGCTCTCTCCGGCTGGCGTTCGCGAAGCCGTGGCTAAACATACGCAATGCACCCCGTCCGATGTCGACCAG